CCACCGCCAGATATCGTGGGCAGGGAGGAACACAGCGTTTGTAATGCCGTTCGCTCGCCATAGACTTTTTCATGATTGTTTTTATATATGCTTGTGCGGACAGACAACAGTAAATAGACAGACACATACACAGAGCGCTACTGAAGAGCAGAAGCTGGTTTGCGCTCTGCCGGATGCGCTTTTATACTTTCTGGTGCTTACGTCACCCCGCTCGTGACATCTCGCTACTCCATTGGACTGATTTGACACGTGCTTCAGAACGCGGTCACGCAGGGATGTTCCCAAAGCGATTTCGACGCAGCTCGAGTTCCTGAAGGGGAACTTCCTATGCTTATTATTAGAACCACATCCTTATAGATCGATTCATTGTTTAAATATTAACTACATTCATATTCAGTATCTGAACGTTAAATAACAGTTTGACTTTTGGTAGATCACCATTATTCTTTCTCTCGATATAACCTATTTTCATAAATGAGAATTATTTCTGAATATGTCTAGGCTACATAGGATTTATTTATTTCCTGACGCTACTATCAATTATCTTCAAGAGATCTAATCAACTTCTACACTGACAGGAAATTTACTGCAGTTAATTATCGCACAGTTTGACAATGTTTCATCAGCACTGTGACTGAAAATAAAAAAAAGACAACAATCTGCCTTCAAAGCTGAGATATGGCAGGTTGTTAGACGTGGGTTTGGTCTCCTCAGGTCCTCCGCACTGAATAGCTGCTGCCCTTCCATCTGAGGCTGTCTAGCCTCTACACTTCCTTCTCTCAAGCTAAGCTTTCTGAATAACAAGCTGTGCAATCAAAAGAGCACCTGTGGCTTGAATGCAAATGCCCATTTGTGTTGGCATAGTTACTGTAGCACAACAACGGCAATAACTCGAGCACTGGCACTGAGTGGGGGACACTGGTTCATTTAAATAGGGCACCTGCCTCTTCAGACGGCCTCTTCCTTACAGCGCTGCAGTATGTGCTGAGAGTTGCATGAACCATTGGAGAATAAGCACTTTTTTATGGGAAATTTAAAAGATTTTTGAAACACTTCACTGCTGACAGGGTCTGATTATGAACATGGAAAGTTTTAGTGCATTTCTAAAGTTATGCCAATAACTTTTAATACTCTGTAAAACATTGGTCTTCAACTCAAAGTGGTGGGTCACAGGATTGTTCTAATTGTGGGGAATAAAAAAACAATGCTACATGCAAATAATAAAATTACAAATAAAACACTGCACTATACTGTACATAGTAAAATAAACAGGCTTAAAAATAATACAAATATTTATGTACATACATTATTCACTTTAATAATAATAATAATAATAATGATAAAACAACTTAAAACACTGCAAAAAAAATCCTATATTCTTACAATGATTTTTGTTTAATTTAATATTTAATATTTAGATTTATTTAAAATAAATGTAAAATTTATTGTACATTTATTTAAAATAAATCTATTTATCTGAAAGACAACATTGCATGAAAAATTAAGACTTTTTTTTAGAGAATGTATCTTTAATAAGAGCATATTTTCTTTTTATCTTATTGCTCTGGCAGATTTTTCCACTTGTTTTAAGCATAAGTAGTTAAAGTAGTTAAAAATACATTTATATTCAAGGTGCAATCTATGAAAGTGAAAATTCTTATGCAATGCTGCTTCTTAAATACATTTTAAGCATTTTATATACTGTAAAACAAGTTTAAAAAAATATTAATGAATGCAATATTAATAAGATAAAAATGTCTGATTTTAACAGCATTTTGTATGAAATAATAAAATAAAAAGTAAAAAACAAAATAAAAAAAATAATGTTGGGTTGCCACTCAATACCCCATATAAAATGAAAACTAAATTGCTTTAGAACATTCTTCAAAGCTACATAAACATGAATAAAGTTTCCAATGCTGGTCTGTTATGAACAAGCAAAGCATGCCAAAGTAAGTTGGGTGAAGTTCTTGCTGAAGAGAAAAATCAGAAACTGTGTCAAGACAAATGTCCTGCTGGGGCAACCACGAGAGCTTGTTCCCAGCATGCATCTGTCTCTAGAGGAATGAGAAAATGATTAGACAAAGTAATGAAAAGCCACTCTCTCTGCTGAAGTGGGGACTATGCAGAACAGGTGAGCTTTCAAAGACAAGTCGGAGGATATCGTACCTGCTAGGCAGCTCTTGAGTGACAGCAGGATTAAGAGTTCCCATGGCAACAACATCTTCATCTTCCAAGGTCACAGAGTCTCTTTTATTTCCATTCAACTGCAAGAGGAGCAAGTCGTGCTCTTCCTATATAAAGTCAGCTTTGTTAGCTGCGAAATGAGCAAGGGACAGAGTGAGAGGGAGAAAGAGAGAGAGACAAAAAATGATTAAAAAACAATACAACACAAGCAAGAGGAGCTGTAACTTCTGATAAACCAGTGAAATATTAATAATTCATTCATCCAAATAAGAACAGACAGGATTCCGTGCCTATGGGCCTGTTCTCAGCTGATCAACTGCAGTGTGGATACCAAGCATACCCTCAATATATTTCTCAGGAGTCGAGGGAATCGGGGAGAGAGAGAGAGAGAGAGAGAGATAGACAGACTTGGGGAAAGCGAGGGCCTAAGAGAGAAATGAAAAAATCCTCAGTGGCTTACGGCAGCAAAACTTTGACACATATTCAGCTGCCAAAGGCAATGTTTGGATTGTACTAAAAGTATTGGTTCTACACACTTACACTGGGAAAAATGAGTGTGATACATTTACAAACCTGCAAACATATTTCATTTTCAGCCCGGCGTATCTCAGGAACAGGATTATGATTCGATGGGGGAGGTGATACACTTGGAAAGGGCAGTGAATATGATAGAGGAGTAAGCTATACGGTGTCAGCCCTCCCCCTTTTCGAGACGTCGGCCTGCAATTCATCCACCTCACAGGAATTCAATACTCTTTAAAGCACATCAGAGTTGCCGAATACACACTTTAATTTATGAGGGTCAAAGCCACCGCTTTGGCTTTTACAAATATGGACCCTGGTGGGCCGTGCGGTTTAAGTGTCAAACTATAACAAATGTCTAGCAAATGAGTGTAATATTCTTGACATTTCGGAGTGCAAAACAGCTGGTGAGTTTTGAGCAATATAGGAACACTAGGGACATAAAATTTCGAATAAGCCTTGAAAGTCACCGTGATACATAACATGTTTAACATTCAGACATTTCTTCATTTTCTGTGAACACAACACCAAACCTTGAAGCATCAATATTGTTTAGTCAGAATTGTTTTGAATCATCAGAATTGCTTTGAAGCATCAAGCCTGTTTTAAAGCATCAAATTTAACCAATGTATTGAAGCATCAAATTTGTTTTAAAATATTAGTATTTCTTTGAAGTAGTCTTTTTGAAATAATATTGCTTTGAAGCATCAGTACTTTTTACATTTGTCAGTATCATTTTAAAATGTCAGTAAATTTGAAGCATCAAATTTGTACTGAAGCATCAATGTTGTTTTGAAAAGCCAACATTGTTTTAAAGCATCAAATCTGTTTGAAACATCAGTATTTTTTGAAGCTTCAGATCTGTTTTGATGCATCACTATTGTTTTGGAGCCACCATAATTGCTTTGAAGCCTCAGATCTGTTTTGAAACAGTATTGCATTGAATTAAATTATCAGATCTATTTTGAATTATCACTGTTTTGAAGTGTCAATATTTCTTTGAAGCATTCAATCTTTTTCAAAGCAGTATTGCTTTGAAGCATCAACACTGTATTTGAAACATCAGCATTGTTTATTCAAAAATATTTTGAATTATCAGAACTGCTTTAAAGCATCAACATTTTTGAAACATCACTATGTTGGAAGCATCAGATCTGTTTTGAATTATCACTGTCACTTTGAGCTATTGGAATTGATTTGAAGCATCAAATCTGTTTTGAAACAAAATTGCTTTGAAGCATCAGACTATTTAGAAATGTCAGGACAAATTTGAAGTTTCGGTATAATTCTGAACCATCAAGTACTGCACTGAATATCCTTTCAGAGCATCATTATTGTATTGAATAATCAACATATGAAATGGCAGTATGGTCTTCATGTTTCTGTATTTTTTTTTTAGCCAATTCAACTAACTTCTTTGATCCACTATTGCAATATCAGAGAGCAGCTCAATCATTGAGCAGAAAATGAAAAAAACTTTATCATGGAAGGAAAAAAAAATGAGTGCAGATCAGGTCTGAGATGGGGGGGAGAGATTAAATTAAACGAGATTGATTATGTTCCTGTATTATCTACTCTAAGGGACCACAAGCTCTGACCTTCAAGTCCTTCGTCATTTCAGTCATCTCTATCGATTTGGTTTCCATTTTTTTAACCTCCTGCCTCCTTTGTTTGTCATTCTGCTCCTGCAGCCCACTATGAGTCTCAATCAAGTCTGGGAGGACAGGTCAATAGCCGGATATTTGTTTGATGTCTTTCCTTATGAGATGCATGAGGGTGATCTATAACCGGTGAGTATGTGAAACGGAGGATGAAACTATAGCTGCGCGATGGGGGAAGAACTTAATTTGACCTGCACATTTGATTCCCTCCATGCTACCTGTTTTCATACTTCTTCAGATCAATTCATTCAATCCTACTTCTTCGCACCATCATCCTTTGAGGTGTGTTTAATACGCTCATATTAGATAACTGATATACATGCTGCTCTGCTTTATCAGAATTTAAAAAAAGGGTAAAAGTTTATATACAAATTACACCTATTTTAAGACACTCTAACAAATGGTTGAATATCCACCAGCATTAATACACTTCCTTACGTAAAAAAGAAAAAAAAAAGAAAAAAGATCCCTGGGGGAATACAGCATTAATGACTCTAAAAATGTTGTCCTTGGATGTACTGAGAACCATGTGCCATTTGTAAAACAATCGAGTTGGTGGACTTTTGGGACAGGTAGTAAGACCATTATAATCTATTTCCACAGGATGTCTAACAAGCCCTGTAAGGCTCAAGTCATTAATGTGGCATGTTGAGCAAAAATGATCAATGCTAATTTATGTTTCAGTCTCGTCAGCAGTCCCCAATCACTTCAGAGAGAGGTCAACTCGCTTTTTGTTGTCCATGCGGGCCTCTTGCACATTTCAAAGTCAGGAAAAAGCCTCCTGTTTCTGTCTATGGCATGCTAATATGCATCAAACCATACCGGGGCAAACGTGACAGTTATCTATGTGTCAAATGGCATGCCGCGTTTTAATGATGAATGGTGTCTCTGGCATCTTTGGGGAAGGAGGGAGGGAGTTTCTTGGTCACTATCCAACCAGATTCAGAGTAGTTCCTTACATGATTAATTTATAGAGCGGGGAAAAAAATACAATGGCAATAATTCTTGTGCCCAGCGGATGACGGTCACAGGTGGTAGAAATATAAAGTGGGCCGAAGCCTGGTTAATGGTGCCTGCGAGGGAAAAGATCTGTCAGGGATAATCTCTTATAATACTCTGCCATAGATAATGTGCTTCCCCCTTTCCACTGGCGGCAGATGAAGAGATTGCATAGCAGACATTATGAAATGGGATGAGAATTATCATGACTATGCTGCCTGTGTCCAGAGCGATAAATGCAGAGCTAGTTCAAATCTCATTGGAACAATGGAGAAATGGTGGGCGAGAGTGCTGAAAAAAGATGGGACACCACAGTGTAATGCGATCTGGAAGGAATACTTCATGACTTTGTAGCTAAATGTACAGCTATACAAGACAAAAAGGCTTCTCCGATGACAATGTCATCAAAATCGTGCTTCTACCTGTAAGAATACTGCCAAGGTTAGTCTGACAAAGAGCAAAGAGTTCTTGTTTGTACAGGCATCAGTAGCTTTACATGTTATTATATTATATTATAAGCAGTAGTAAAAGTAAATTGGTGAAATTATAATACACACACACACACACACACACACACACACGCACACATTATTATATAAACAAACATAAGCAAACATAAGCATATTATATATTTTTCAGTGACTCATTGTGCATGTTACATTGTTACACCAGTAGGTGGCGACAAGTGAATGTCTTGTTTTGATTGAGTCATGAAAGGATTAGTTCACTTCCAGAATAAAAAATTCCTTATAATTTACTCACCACCATGTCATCCAAGATGTTCATGCCTTTCTGTCTTCAGTCGCAAAGAAATTAAGGTTTTTTTCTCCATACAATGGACTTGGTGGCCAACGGGCTGAAGGTCAAATTGCAGTTTCAATGCAGCTTCAAAGAGCTCTACATGATCCCAGCCGAGGAATAGGGGTCTTATGCAGCGAAATGTCGTTTTCTAAAAAAAAAAATAAAAAAAAATGTATATACTTTTTAACCTACTTCAAAATCATCCAACATCGTTGTTTTACCTTTTTTTTGTAAAGGGCATTTGACTTTCTTTGCACATCCGCTTTATAAACACTGGGTCGGTACTTCCGCCTACATCACGCGTGACCTTTCCAATTTGACTATGTAATGCGTAAAGTGCAAGACGAGCATTTGTGGTTAAAAAGTATATCAATCTTTTATTTTTTTTGTAAGAAAATTACAGATAGTTCAGCTAGATAAGAGCCCTATTCCTCAGCTGGGATCGTGTAGAGGTCTTTGAAGCTGCATTGAACCTGCCTTTGGACTTTCAGCCCATTGGCCACCATTGAAGTCCATTATATGGAAAAAAATCCTGGAATGTTTTCCTCAAAAACCTTAATTTCTTTATGACTGAAGAAAGAAAGACATGAATATCTTGGATGACATGGGGCTGAGTAAATTATAATTTTAGGAAATTTTAATTTGGACGTGAACTAATCCTTTAAGCATTCAACTGATTTGTTCAAACACGTTGATTCATCTAGGAATGAAACAAGTGACTTTCGTTATGAGCAAGTCACTGAATCATTCACTCAAATTATTTGTTCAAACACATTGATTCATTGAGGAACAAAACACCAACAATGAAACGCACAATGTTTTAAGAGTAGGTCATAAGTTTTTTTCTGACCTGGTTCATTGAATCTCTTTCAGCAAAATTAACTTAATTCAAGTAATTTCGCTAATTTGAGCGAAGTTAATTTAAAACTTTAAAGTACGCACAACCCAAAACTATTTTGGATCGGCCAATACGGTGTTTAAAATGCAGCTACTCACCATTCTAACTACTTGTTTATTGAACTGTTGTATAATAGCAATTTCACACTCACAATCATCCACTGAAATTTTTGTTCAACATACTGGCAGCAATTCACATATTTTTACCAACATTCCAATATTGTCATAAGAAGTAAAAAGCCTATTCAAA